CGTTTCTGGTTAAGATAAGGCATTTCAACGGCCACCGGAAGTGGACTTTTTGCATTCTTGGGCAGTGGTTCTTGGGCAAATTTTCAGGCAGATCGTCTCTATAAGAGTAATGACACTTATCAATACAAATGTGGTGACGTCAAGGCATATAAAAAGGGAAGAGGTCTTGCTTCCTGTTGCTGACGCCTGAGCTTAAGTTAAACTTTATACGTGGCAACGAAAACGTCACGCATTCCGCGCAATCTGAATTTTCTGGGCGAAACGGCTTTTTGGGGGGAATTTTCTGTTTAGAATATCCGAGTAGACGCAGCGAGAAAGTAAATTGTCATTTCCTAAACTACAGATTGTCATTTCGCAAACTGCAGTTTTTCATTTCGCAAACTGCAGATTTTCATTTCATAAACTGCAGATTTTCATTTCGCAAACTACAGATTCTCATTTCGCAAACTACAGATTTTCATTTCGTTTCGTTCCATTTCGTTTCGTTTCGCAAACTACAGTAAGCCGTCGAAATTCTCACCTCAGCAGCTAAAATTGTTTTGACATTGGAGCTAAACTTCGAAAGAGATAAAACCGGAGATGCAGGTAAATTTCACAATACATACATAAATCAAATTTCAAAATTCAGGATCGCACGCTATTAATTTCCAATCCATTTTTGCTACAAAGACAGTTTGGCCATGGGTTGTTTGACATTATATTTTCAACTGTTTATATATTACGGCAAAGAGGGAGTTAACACTTTTGATGATGCTTACGTTGATTATTTACCAACTGCTAAGTTGAATCAAGAGGCTGTTCACATATCTATAGCAAAAAAGTGCAGGCTTCTGTGAACATGTACTAGCTTTGTATTTAATCGTGTAGAGACAAACGGAGGCAGTGTATTTCAGGCAAGATAAGCATAAGCTTATATTAAAGTGTATAAAAGGCAGCTGAGATTAAAATGTAAGCACATGCAGTATCATGAATTATAAGTGTGTCTGCATCATAAGTTTCATTTTTTCCAAGTTTAGATCCACCACGCAAACCACTCTATCAACTGCAGAGGAGATTTCCTTGCGCTTGTTGAAACTCCATGTTTTGGAATTAATCCCAGCGAATATTTTTTCTGTCTCAGAAGGTGAATTAATAAACAGACCCTTGAAAATAAAGAATCATGTAACCAGAATCAGGAGTGAAATTTCCTGCTTTTGAGCATTGGAGCTGTTCTGTTGTTTTTGCAAAAGGTCTTTTCATTGAAACTTTGTTCCCTATAGTTGATATAAAAAAAGAAGTTCTTTTCTTGTCTTGGGTCAAAGACTGTTTTCCTGTAATGTTTTAAAAAAACTAGGCATATCTTAACCCTCGGACATACATGTACAAGTGGGGGGTGCGGCTGCCATCCCCCCTAAGGTTTTTCTGATTTTTTCCTTGACAATAAAACATCAGCACCTGAAGTTTTCTGTAGCTGTTTGTTTATCACTCGCACCATTTTGAGACAAGTTTAGTGATGGTCAGTTGCTATGGTTACGAGATATGATGTCATAAGTAGCAGGTGGTCAAGCCATTTTTGAGTGAAAGTGCATGTTTTTCAACTTTTTTCAACACTAAAAGTAAGACTTGTGGATAGAATGATGCAAAGTAAATATTTATGTGTTATTTTACAAGTTAAGCGCAAAAAAATATTTATTCTCCCTTTTTTTTACCTGATTTCTAATTCTGATAAAACCCAAGCTGGGGGCCAAGATGGCAAGCTTGTTTTGAGATGTCACAGAAATCCAGCAGTGCCACCACCCACAAAATATACCTCATTATGTAGAGAAGATCAAAGGCTTTCCACTGAAGGCAAAATTCTTTTGAAACACTGCAACATATCAAAAACTATAAAAGAGGGGGGGTCCATCAACCCACCCCCCTTGTACCACAGTGGAGGTCTGTGTGTATGTCTGAGGGTTAAGCAGTGGCCCAATGGACGTCGTCAAGCTGACAATGATTAAGCAAAATTCTATGGTATTTTGCAAATGCTAGAGTCCTTACATGTCCAAAGCAATGGAGCTAAGAACCAAAATTTGGTTTTTTGACTAAACTGGGATTCGGCTAAAAACTAAACAGTGAACTTTAGAGTACCTGACTACTGTTTTTTATCGTCTGTAATAACATAGTGCCTATAATGTTATGCCTCATAATTCCGAAGTTGAGTTGTAGTATCATACCACCAAAATCATCCAAGCAATTACACTATCCAAAACAGTAGCAGTGGACAGAAAAGGGTGAAATAAAACTGAGAATCACAGTGGCTATACAAAGCATGCATAATACTATTGCATAAAACTGACATTTAATTTAGCAGCCAATAAGTTTACAAAATTCTAGTACTCTGATACATACCTACATGTACCTTTACCTATGGTGGCTGAAAACTGTCTATTGAAAATCTGAATTTTGGAGGTTATTCTTTTGGCTATTATTTCCTTTATCTCTTTTTTTCAGTTTATTTATATTTTTTCGATTTTATTTTATAAGAAAAGTGAAAGTGAAAACAATAGATCCCCCCTAAACGAAATGGAACCCAGAAATTAAGAACTAAATTAAAGCAAAATAGATTTTAACGCAGTTGAGTACTGCTACTAGCAGCATGCATTTCTGGACTATTACACAGCAGCTCCACTAATAATGGAGACACATGATGCAGTTTCACTTTTAACTGATTAAAATATTCCATATTTCAAACCCTGCGTTTACATCATTCCATTTATTTTTTAGTATTACATGAAATAAAAATTACGAAATGAAAGCTTTGCGTGACTAATCTAGCGTGACTTATTTTACAAAGCCAATTGACGTCATATGGCGGCTGTCGCTCTTGGTGAAGTGAGCCAAGGGACAGCAATACAAGACTTCCTTCTTTCATTTACCTTTGCTGAATTGCTGTGTGTGTCTTTTGGTCACGGATAAAGGTTAGGCTTGTGTGTTTTTAAATTCTTAAACACTTGGTAACTTAAAACTAGTCATGAGAGCGAGCATTTGAACTCACAATTCACAAGTCGTAAATGATAATCACTCTTTATCTTGGCGTCTGTCAATTCACTTTAATAGTCTATGAATTTCCACGCGGAGCCAGTTAGATAGTGTGTATCTGAGCAACGATTTCTTTATTCGTTTTAACTGAGCTATAGTTTCAAGATGTGAAATAAAATCAGGCCCTTGTGTATCTTCGTTCGTTTCGGGTGTTTGATATTCAAATCGCTATCGCAGTATTTACATAGCCAGGAGTAGAATTCTGGCCTGGCAGTCAGAAAATCGTACTGATCTTCTACGAATTTAAAGCCTCGCTCTAACCTCCTGAAAGCATTTCTTTTAGAATTGCCTGCCAAATAGGAAAACGTGAGCTACATAAGCAGTTGACTAAGTATAGCATAGTAATCGCCGTTAATTCGTCTGCTCCTGTGTGACTCTACAACGTATTCTCAGGAAGGCGGCCGAATACTTTCTGGGTTTGATACCTGGGGGCGGTGCTTATAAGCGGTACTTTATGGTATGACCCTTTCGTAGTTGGTAAAAGGTTTGGTTCGTCTTTTTACGACCTATATTATTCAATTGGTTTTACATATAGAATTAAGAAATATTTTAAACTAACGTGATGAAATTATATATTTTTCCAGAAAAATATTTTTGTACCACAACTGCAAAGACCACTCATAGCTAACCTTCACGTTCTTTTAAAGGCTTCCGGGCCAAAAAGACACCAAGAATCCATACCCTTTTGGGAGTGAGGGGGTTTCTATCACTAGCATCCAGTTGTAAATCCTGACTTAGATTAGCCTCCCACGCAGGCGTTTTTAGGGCAGCTCGTTTTTCATCCCTCCTCCTCTTCGGTTGAGCAGGCGTTTGTGCGGAGGGATGAAAGACGAGCTCCCCTAAATTCGCCTGCGTGGGAGGCTAGACTTGGATATGCTATAAAGAATTGGAAAAAAACTATGTTCCAGCAATTCTGATCTCCCGTGTGACTTGAAGTTACTTAGTCTGTTTCAGTGCAATGTAAAGCTATCAGCTAGAAAAGATAGCCTGGTAGTAGGCTCCCCCAGGAAATATTTTGATTTTAACTCCTTAGAGTCTCCTTTCCTGGGTTTCCGAGTCATTCAGACAATATTGGCCAGATTTCAATTCGGAAAGTGTTTTTTATTATTAAAATGTATTTACTATGAAAAATCTGACCGATTTCCGTAAAACGGTGGAAGCCGGTGTGAATCCGCGCCTGCTATGAATTAGTTTCACTAAGGGTTTTTATGCTAGATTGTTAAGGAAAAGAAACACACACACACACGCACGCTAATCTGAGTTTCAGGCCTTTATACTACTACATGAGAAATTTATGCAATTTGATTGGCTTAGAGCAGTGGTTTTTCAGCTTAATTTGAAATACCTGCATGTGAAAATTACAAACCTTTTGTGGGTAGTAGTATAAACAAATAATAGCATGATTTGTACCTGATATTTGGCTTAAATACCACTTGTGATATTTCAAAATTGTCTCAAATTTGACGCGCCTAACGGCCCGTGAAATTACGTATAACAATTTTGAAATATCACTCGTGGTATTTATGCCAAATATCACTACAAATCATGCTATTACCCATACTAATAAGAGGTAAGGGGAAATAAAGAGGAAACAGTGGGGCGAGAAAAGAGGGAGAAAGGCCTGACACCCAAAGGCATTCTTCTTCTCTTCACTACCTCCCTTTCCCCCTAGAAAAGCCAAGGCTAGTAAAAAGCATCAGCGGTTAGAAAATGCATTTTCTGGTCATGTGATCTGCTACTTTTCATGTTGCAGAAGGTTGTTTAGATAGAAGTCAATCGGTCCCACCCAGTGAAACGTTTTTCCGTTTTCCCAGTAGAAGCTGTAATTGATTCTCTTTTTTTCTATTGTGGTAGTTTCTCTATTCTCCATTGTAGTAGTTGTAATTGAGTCTTTACTATTAATTTTTAGTTTAGATGTTGGACGACTTTGATGTTTGAGCATGGCATCTGCTTTACAGAAGGCTCAAACGCATGAAGACCGAGTGCATGGATCTCGCAAAGTGCAAGTCACTATTTTGGGATCTCAATGGGGACCAAGTAATGAGGGGCTTTCCACCATAAACAGAGAATTAGCCATTCAGTTAGCCAAGTTCCCTGAGGTGGAAATCACTTTCTTTTTACCAAAATGCAGTGAAGAGGACAGAAAGATAGCCCTGGAACACAAAGTAAAGATCGTGGAGGCGACGCCTCTGCCTGGCTTTGAACAATTGGATTGGCTTTGCTTTCCGCCGAAAGATTTGCAAATCGACATTATCGTAGGTCATGGAGTTAAACTCGGTAAACAAGCACAAATCATTAAAGACCTTAAAACGTGCAAATGGTTCCAAGTGGTACACACAGACCCTGAGGAGCTTGGGATGTTTAAAAACGTTTCTAATCCAATTTCAAAGGGGGAAGAAAATCACAAGACCGAAGTAGAACTGTGTAAAATGGCTGACCATGTTGTAGGAGTTGGACCCAAGTTGAGCGAGGCCTTTCGCTCGTACCTTTGTGGCTGTAATAAAGATGGCAATGTCTTTGACTTCACTCCTGGAGTATTTGAAGAGTTTAAGGCTGTGAGGCAGGCTCCTAACCAAAGGCAACAACGCAGTGTCTTGGTATTTGGTAGTGGAGACGTAGACGATTTCGAATTAAAAGGGTTTGACATCGCTGGGAAAGCGATTGCCGCATTGCAAGATACTCGTCTTATGTTTGTTGGGGCACCGGATGGAAAACACGAAGAAATAGCAAAGCGGTTAATCGAGTGTGGCGTTCCTGCAAGTCGACTGAGAGTTAGAGGATTTGCTCAAGACCGAGAGAGTTTGAAGTGCTTATTCCAAGAAGTGGATCTTGCAGTCATGCCTTCGGGAACAGAGGGCTTTGGACTAACAGGACTCGAGGCAATGTCAGCTGGTCTCCCTGTGCTTGTCAGCAGCAACTCTGGTTTTGGAGAAGCACTATGCAGTGTAACTTTTGGTTCAGCATCTGTGATTGAGTCAGAGGACCCCACAGTGTGGACCGCAGCCATCAAGAAGATCTGGTCCAAGGACAGAAAATGTCGACTTAAGGAGGCGGTGACCTTGCGTGATAACTATGGCATGGAATACGACTGGACCAAACAGATAAAAGAGTTAGTTGACAGGATGATCAGCCTGACTCATGGTAGGAATGTCAATTATATTTTCCTCAGTGGCACATTATTAGGAAACAATAGAAAGAAAAGTGAAAAGAAACAAAAATAGGATCTAGCTCTTACAAGTTTTGCCCCGAAGTCTTGATAAAAATGTTCGCGAATTCCTATCTGAACCTTATGCTGATAACAGCAAAACTGTAACGTTTATAATCATAACTATAACAAAATTCTCAAATCTGATTGGTTCTCAACTGCCCTGATTTCAGCCTTAATAGGACAGTTTAATAGGACAGTACGCGTCATGCCTAAGTAATTGGACAGTACGCGCCATCACGCGCGCGCTTAAATGGCTTTTTTTTTCATTGCTAGCGAAAAAATCTTGGAATTTCTTGTGTTTTGATTTAAAAAGAGCCCTATATATCACAAATTTTGTTAAAGTTATGATTAATTGGTAACAGAACTTCGTGTCGTCCAATTCGGTCTGTAATCATACTCGTGATTAAACAAATCGGACTCCCGCTACGCGGTCGTCCGATTTTGTTAATCACTCGTATGATTACAGACCGAATTGTACTCCACTCAGTCCTGTTACCATTACTAATTTTTTCTGGTACATTGTTTTCAGCGGAATGGTCTGTAGAGAGCAGTCGTCATACCGTTCGGTCATAGGCTTTATTTGCAGTACTTCACATATATGATTATAGTTGTACAAACATAATCCCCGCAATAGCAAGTTTTCTCCATTTTGTTGTAATAGAAGATTCTCCAAAGGCCCGGAGCTCCTTAGGCATGACTGACGACCATGAAGGTATCTTCGTAGAAAGCTTGTGTGGAAATAATTTCTGCCTATTTTTAACCAAGTGGGAGAAGCACAGGAGGCGTACGAGAGCGAACAAAAAATAGGGACGGGAAGAGGAATAGAACGCCGGCCGCTAAGCTTCTATCCCAGGAATACACATCCTAATATTACACCCAACAAATGTCCGCCCCGGGGAGGAATGGGTACACCTGGAATTGACTGAACCTTAAGTTTCAAAGAGATAATCATTGTAACCAAAGCTTGTTTTTTCAGAGCCTTCTATGGAAATTGTCAACAACACAATAACAAACTCTTATGACGACGAGCAGCTTGTTTCAGAAACTTCCCTTAGTAGTGACTGTGAAATGAAAGCTGATGCTGCATCAGAAAATCCAATTAAAATATCCATGAATACAGACTCTCAGTCTCAAAATAGCCGTAAGGGTAACATGTCAGAATTGTCTTGTAATCCAGGTATGCAAAAACATGAGTTGTTTCTCTTGCTATCGCTGACTAGTACACTACTATATCTAAAGGGGAGAAGTGATTGTTAGAGTATTCAAAGGTACTTTTTCCTACAGGACTTGATACCATTTTTGCTCGTACTGTAGACGTGTATTATTAATAATAGTAAAACTTATATAGCCCCGATATCAATGGACGCTTGATGGGCGCCATTTTCATCAGCGGTTAAAAAAAAACGTTTTTAAATAAGTATTTAAATATATAAAAGATATAAATATGTCGAGCACTAAAATTAGAAAAATTACGACTGTTTTCTGTAAAATATCTGTTAGGAGAAGTAAATATTGCTTAGAATTTTCTGTTGCTTGAATACGACTAATAATTTCTAGATGAACGTTCCATTCAGGTACTATTTTCAAAGCTTATCTACAGAATTCCTTTCGATTTTCTGAAGTTTAATTTTTTCATATTTTACTCCTTATGTTCGGCTAATTTTCGTAGAAAAAGAACATCTAGAATTTTCGGATTCAAAAAAGTGTTGGAGAGAGGAATAAGAAAAATTAAACTTTTCGGGAAAATAACACTGTCGCCCTTGAAATTCCCGTGGGATGACCGAACAGATACAAATTTTATATCGCCACTTAGAATACATTTCTAGAAATCTAAAAGTACTCTGGATATCCTAAAAAGGCTTTTCAATGCATTTAGGGGAGAACCGTCGTTGGTTGCCCTTGAAAAATCGCAACTGAGGGGCTTCTCTATATCGCAAAAGGAAACAAATTCCAAAGTTTAGGAGCAGCAACAGCAAACGAGTGATCGCCTAACGTGGTTCAAGTCGTGAATTCTCCGCTATGCCGGCCTTTAGAAATATCTTAGTGACAAATATTTTCAAAAATATATGCCAACAAAATTCCCAGTTTTGCAAATTGTATCTCATCGAATTGCTATAAACAGTAACATTTCTTAGACATTCAAGTACGTGTCTAATATTGTGAATCTGTGCGGGATATCGCCTTGAAGTTCCCTTGTGGGGGCTTGGATGAATTTGTTAATGCTCTTTGGCTATGGTGAATTTGCTTGAGTAGACATTCTGTAATAATGAATACCTTGACAAGAGCCGTCTCTTAAATGCAGGTACTTCAAGTGAGGATAGCGGAATCTTTTTTAAGAAGCATATGCCCTCCAAGATAGCTAGTCATGAAGGTGCATCTTCCCTGGGGAAGGAACCTCTTAACAGCTGGAGTATGCAAAACATTGCAGGATCAACTTCTAGTATAGGTAAATGGAACAAGCTAATTATTTTGATAGGTTGGTGCAGTAGTAATGAGGGTTCAGGAATAGTGTTTTTCTTAAAAGATGGCCCACCTGGATATTAAGGGGCAAAAACTTCAAAGTTTTAGCATTTAACAATGATATTTAAAAAAAAGCAGTCATCCCGTTATACCTCGTTATTTCGGTCACTTTCCTTGTCCCTGGGTAAAGCCCTTACATTTTCTTCAAATTCTCGTAATACAACTGTATAACCGAGTAGGAACTGTTTTGGAATGTAATCTTAAAATGGATCTACTTTATAGTACTTTAAAAAGTTATGATGTTAGTTTTTATCATCGAATTTACTCTGAATTCCTATCATTGATTCTTGAGCTTAAATTTCTTGTGCTCACCTTTTAAAATTGTATTGGAAGTTGTCAAAGGGGATTTAAATGCATGAAAAGATCTGTGATGTGTAGAATAAGGGTCTCCACCACATTTAAGGGTCACAGTTGTCTACATGGGACGTGGTTTCACACGGGTGATTATGGGTAGTGGAAATGTGAACGAGTTACTAAAACCTATGTATACTTTATTTTCTAAGAAGCTTATAATAAAGGCTTGATCTATATACTGCTCGGTACTGAGACATTGTTAGGATCCGGGAATGATGGGTGTTGTAAATTGATTATTGCTTTTCCGAAAATTTGTTAATACGACGGACAAATTTCCCCAGTCCCTTGGCACTTCGTTAAATTGTGGTTCTACTGTAATCACCGCCTGTTTTCGCTCAATTTTTGTTTCACAGAAGCGGATTCTTTAAAGGTCGTGAGCTCCTTGGAAACAAAGCGCCAGGCTTTTCAGAGGACTGAAAGAATGACAGCGGACCATAAAGGTGTTGTGGAAGACTTATAATCAATGAAATCGAGGGTGATGTTGCCTAATATATACATTTAGCCAGGGCTAAAAACGAAGCTCCCATTAATAAATTTATAATTTAAATCAAACAATAAACTTGTGATCCACAAATCAGTTAACTTGAGGGCACATTCATGTGACTTTTGAGGGAAAGGCTAAGTTATTTTAGAGTGAAACATCTTACATCGAGTTGATAGCCTTATATGTACACCCAAAACAGAGCAAACATCTTCGATCACATTCAAGAGCCATAATGGCTCTTGATCACAGCTGTAGATAAGGCCTCGAAAACAAATTCTGGGAAAACAAATCAGGCTGAATTTTTTTGCGTTCGACAGGTTTACTTTACAAATTCTTGCCAACAAATCTGGGGGTGTGTAAACAAACCTTTTATACTTTTTATACACGATCTGAGGTGAAACAGTACGTACAATTTATCATACAGACCTCGGACAGAACACGGTATTTCACAATTTTTCAACACAAATTGCACTCAGTCAATGTTCGGGACGATCAATCGTGGGCTTTTAACGAAACCGTTAAAAAAAATTTCCAAAATCACTCATTAGGCCGGCCGGTTCTCGTTTCTAGTGCGAGCTGTCAGTGTAATCGAGTGTTTGAATGAACTTTAAAAGAGTTACGTTTCAACATAATAACGAATTTATTATTATAGTTTTTTGTTATTTAATGGTTTCAGTTATAACGATGTGTAATCTTATAAAGCGTTTGATACGCGCGACATTTTTTTAAAGTACTCCTGCAAGCGATGTTCATGAACGATGAAAACAAACGCCACGGACGAGCGATTAAAATTGCAAGAGAGTACTAACAATCAACAAAAGAAAGATAATTCGGTGAAACATTTACAGAGACAACGATTTTCATTCACGAAGACAAGTATTAAAGTGTCTCTAAAAATTGTGAGTCTTTAAACTTAAAAGTTAATTATGTTTTACTGTAATTTCAGCCGGCCTCCCGGTGTTTGTTTTTTTCAACGATGCCACTTCTCGAAGCAAGAAAATCGCTCAAAGTTTTCTTTCTACAGCCAAATTTATAGCTAAATATTCTTCGGAACGTTTTCTTTCTATTTGCGGTGAGAAAATATATCTGAAGGCTTTTCACAGTTCTGTAAGCTTATATCAAAACTGATACTAGGTCAGATCATTGACTCAAATCTTACAAACGTGCATAAACTTGCAGCATAAACTGTGCTCGACTTCATGAAATTAGATATAACAAAAACAAACATCAAATACAATAATTACTCAGGCTTACCATTCGAGATTCGGTTCCTGAAAGATATCATGGAAGGCCACAGTTGCTTGAGACTTTTAAGCCCTCTTACGCATTAAGCAAGGTGGAAAACGAAAACGATGCAATCCGAAATCGAATTACCGAATTTTGACAAGCAACGCATTTCTCAACCAAAAACCCAATAAACAAACCAGCCATGAATAACAGGAGACTCTTGATAGCAGCTGTATTTCATTTTGTACATCCAGTGGAGAAGACAGTTAAATACATCACAAGTTGACACAAAACTCTGTCAGCTTCTGCTCTCAATGTAAACAACTTTCATGATGCTGCATAAATTTCCGCATGAACTCACCTGTCAATTTTTGACCAATCAGAGTATAAAAATTGGACGTAGAGCGTGACCAACGCGTGACCGTGGTAATAAAAGTTCTTCCCCGCCTGTATTTAAAAAAAATGGTTGAATTTTCGCGTCCGAGGTCAGTTTGAAATCAAAATCTTAACAGTGCGGGGTCATAGTGACATAAACGCAACATATTTCATATGAATCATTAGAAAAAATGAACTTGAGCCTACGATCATTTGAAACTGGTAATTTGTCAGCGGATAACTTCAAAAAAATACTCGACCTCGATGGGTGAACACTTGAGCCCGCGGTACGGTCAGGTGATACTGGTCAGCGGGTGCCCTCTTTTGACAGCTGTCAATTGATCACAACATTGATGTGCAATTAGTTTTTCCTTGGGCTCCCAAACTAGCTAGAAAGTGTGAGAGTAGACATTGGTTTCCCTGTGGTGCGGACGGACGGTCGTACGGTCACGTGATTACCAAATTTTCACGAATGGGTAGATTACCACATTTCCTTACCTATGGGGCTCCGCCCACGCTCGTGCGCTTCGCGCGCGGGTGGAGCTCCGCTATGAACAAGTGTTCATAGGCAAAAGGGATTCTGTGTGGTACATACATGTGTACATGCATAAGTACACATAAATTTAGACACGTAATTGATACATGTATGAGGTGTGGTTTAAACGTTAGACTTCGCATTTGCAGAACTGTTTTCATAAACTATTTTACTACTAAATATAGCAGTACACGGTGCTCCTCCTTATTATCTATCGAACCATCTGGGAAGGAAGTATAATTAAAGCATATTCACTATATGATCAATCATCATCTACACGCTACCTCGTTGCTTAGAAGTTTTAATGTTTTTTACCTATATTTAAACTGAAGAAGTCGAAATTGTGAAATTACTCAATAAAAAGTTCCCCTCCTCTTGGCAGACCTTTGATGAAAACTTTCCACACCCTGGAAACTCACAACGTGATAATGCTTAACCCTGTCCAGGGAGGAAATGGCGCACTTGGAATTGACTGAGCCTTATGTTTCAATAAAATTATTTGTTGTAACCGTGACTTGTTTTCGCAGAGCCTTTTATGGAAAATGACAGTAAGCCAAGAATGTACTCCCATGTTGGCGAGAAGCTCGTTTCAGAAACGTCTGTTGATAGTAACTGTGAGAAGAAAGCTGAGGCTGCATCAGGAAATCAAACTGAAATACTCACGGTCTCTCAGTCACAAAACAACCGTAAGCGTAAAAATTCGGAATCTTCTGGTGATCCAGGTAAACTATAACATGATTTGCTTTCCTTGCTATTGCCTACTAGTACATTTATAAAGGGTATTACCCAAAGGTACTTTTTTTTCACAGAATTTGTTATCGTTACACTGTAGTAGTGTTATTCATTACCCACTTTAATTATAAGTTCAGGTTTGACACCAGATTTTATCCTGCGTTCGAAAATGCTTCAAATCTGGTAGACTTACAAAACAGCCGACGTGTCACTGCCGTGACAAATCATCAGTATGAAATTTGTGCGCTCGTTCTGTTCCTCAGTCGTCATCTCGTAGAGAAACGAGTGCTAGCATCGCGAAATGTCGGCTGTTTTCTCACGTTACAAATCTGAGGACCAACGCAAGGTATTAGGGAGCTTAAGCAAACAACGAAGACGACGGCTACGAAAACGTCACTTAAAAAGTGAATACTCGCTGCTTCAAACTTTATCGCGCTTATTCCATCTCAGCGTTCAATTCGTCAGATGTTGGTGAATTTTTCTGGAGATCAATTTTAAAGGACTGTATCAAAGTTCAGAAAAAGAAAAAGGAAGTCGTTGTCTTGTGTTCACGTTCTCTACAAAACGTGAAATTAGGCAGTTTCACGTTGTAGTCGTGCAACGACGGGAAAGAAATGTACAAAAAAGCCTGATGCACGTGCAAAGTTGGTGTTTTGCCAATCTAAGCCTATTTTTTTCCGTTCTTGTTGCCGTCATCGTCGTCGTCTTTGCATAAGCTCCCTATTAACTTTCGAACGATGTATAGTTGTATAGAATAGGTTTCTTGCGATGTTTTGGGTTTCGTTAATAGATAAATTTATTTCTCGGGGCGTTTGTTTGTTTGTCTTTTTTTTTTTTTTCAGAAATTATTACCAAGCACTTTTTTCAAGAAATAAATGATGAACAGAGCAAAATAGTCCATGAAACTCTACAACGTCAAATACAAGTGTACTTCCAACATCGTACAATTGCAACCTCAGAAGGAGTGTCTGGCCTTATTGAATATATAAAGAAGACGCACAACGTGGCCTTGGAATCTGTGGGTTTGGGATCTCTAGAAATAAAGTTTCGGTGCACTTCCTTAGAGAGCCTTGAAAGTTTGTGGAGTGACCATCAGTCTGGTCACCTTAATGATATTGCTGAGAGATACCTTGTGACTGATAACATAAAGAAGAAACTGAACTTGGAGAGTATCAGGTTGAAGACAATTATCGAAGAAGAGAACTACCGGATTTGCAAGAGGATTTTAATGGAAAAATCATGTGAGTTTGAAAGCTCTTTGTAAGCTATTGCCTTTCTACAGTTTAGGCTGAAATCAAATCCCAAAAAAGTGATTAATATTTGGCTTACGTTCGGTCAACGTTGACTGGCTATCTTTTCTGCTGCAAACCTGATTACGGTTCTCTTTGTTTCTTACGACAGCAGCAATCTGGCTGCATTATTGTAAGGATGGTCAGCTTATCGAGCGCATGTGGTTACTTCCCTAAAAACGTTTTCTCAAACAGACAGAAAAAAGATAGTGCATTAAAACAATTAATCGACATACAATAATCTTTCATAACGGAAGTAAAATAGATGTATTGCGGTCATTAAATGAGCAGTGTTTAAAGGTGTCTCTTTGTTGAAGTTTCACTGTTTACAAGCAGTGCAGTAATTTATCAGCCTGTGTACAGCCCCCGTATCCTCGGGAAAAAAATCGGAGCTTTCCTTATTTTTTCTTGAGGGGAGAGGGTAGCTATATAGAGGCTATATTTATTTATTGTGATCATTTTCGGGGACAGTACATTCACAACAGATGAACTTAATGCATATTTGTTATCTCATTCTCTGTTAGCAGTCAGCAGTGACTTTTCTCCTTCAACTGAGTCAGATCAAGAAGCAGCTTTACTAGCGTCTGACACAAGCTCAGATGTTTCTAAGGTAGACCGCTTTGCACTTGTGACTAAACATGAAACGGGTGAAGATCAAGATGAAAAAGAAGTCGAGGGGCGCGTCTAGGCCGTGTTTTAAACAACAGTTACATAAGTGCTGATGAGGAGATTTTGGTCGTATCCTTGATTTCAGTGTATTGTGTGGGGTTGCACTCTGTATTTTAATGACTGTCCAGTCAATTCTGCAGAAACAACAGCTTTTAACTAGTCGGAATTCAGAGCACGCTGATATAATGACAAGATTAAGTTTAGAGGCAAGTAGTCTTCTTAAAACTCGATTTTTTGCCACTCTTATACGTGTAAGGTGTGTGAATACACTAAGAAATGTTATGGCAGTCATAAGTGAATCTTTCTTTTGCAAATACAAGTGCTCCGCCATAAAGAGCTTTCAGTTTCAATAATCTGTTGATGTTGTCCTTAAGCAGCATAATTAAAAAATATAAAACTGTTCTAGTGAGGCTTAAAATAGTAAAATCGAAAATCTGAGAGAAAATATTCCGCGCGCGCGCTATATACATGCAAAGTTCAAAGGTGTAGGGTGAAATGTATAAAAGATGTGACGTATGTATGAAAGGTGTAGAAATATACTGTGAATGGAATACAACGCTCTAATGGTCTGTAAAATACTAAAATAGAAGGTCTGCGAATTCACTACATTCCTTCCATTGAGTGTAGGCTGACAAATTAGTATCTTGGAGTAAGACATGGCAAATGCAGTTTAATGTCACTAAATATCATACGATGAGGATATCTAGGAAGAAGGAACCTGCATTGATGGATTATTACATCGATGGCCAAAAGCTGTCTCCCCTGGAGAACCATCCTTATCTGGGAGTTATGTTATCTAATGACCTAAGATGGAATTCTCATGTGGAAAATATTGTGGTCAAAGCAAATAAGTTACTTGGCTTTGCACGGTAAGGCGCAATCTTTACCCTTGCTCTGAAAACACAAAGCGTCCAGCTTATGTAACCATTGTGAGACCAAATTTGGAATATGCTACTGCTGTGTGGGATCCATACAGACAAGAACAGATTGATTCAATTGAAGCAGTCCAGCGGCGTGCAGCCAGATTTATCAAAAGAGACTATAACAGAACTTCGTCCGTTACAGAAATGCTACAGTCATTAGATTTAGATCTTTTAGAGGAAAGACGTAAAGCCCATCGATTGAATATATTTTATTAAGCAGTTAATAATTCGATTGCACTGCCTATACCTAATTATTTTTTACCTAAACGGCGTTTTACTAGATCATTTTCTAATGGTTCATTTATTCAAGCCAACTGCAATCATGATTATTACTTTTATAGTTTCTTTCCAAGGACAATAAGGGACTGGAACTCTCTGCCAAGCGGCATTCGTACTAGTACAAATTTTTCACTATTTAAAGATCACTGTTTCTCAGCTGTTAGAAATGATTGATCGCTGTCATTTATTTATCTTTTTTTATTATTATTTATCTCATTTATTTGTATATATATATATATACGAATATTAACGAATATGATATTAACGAACAACACATTTACCTTCGATGATATCGTTTTGATATTAACGAACAACACATTTACCTTCGATGATAAAATATACCTTCAAAAGAAAGGCACTGCGATGGGTACAAAAATGGCCCCTAGTTATGCAACTCTTGTTCTTGGATACTTGGAGAGCAAATTATATAGCCAGGTTGCTGATATAATGGGAAGAGAAATTGGCCATTACGTTTACACAAACTGGAGAAGATTTCTTGACGACTGCTATATTAACTGGCCATATGGCGGCGATAAACTGGAACAACTCCAACACATTCTTAACAGCCTGGATAGTAATATCCAACTTACTGCGGAAACTAGCTGTAAGGAGCTTCCTTTTCTTGATGTGATGATAAGAAAGGAAAAAACCTGCCTAACAACGGACATTTACTATAAACCGACTGATTCCTTCCAATATCTACCATATACATCCAGCCATCCAAGACACACCAAAAACAACATACCATACAACCTAGCCCGCAGGATATGTATGATTATAAAAGACCACGATAAAAGGAAACGGCGCCTCCTCGACCTCAAACAGATCCTGTTGGACAAAAACTATCCAGCAGAGATTATTAATATTGGCATCGAGAAGGCCTTTTCCCAAACGCCTGAGGAATTAAGAGGAGTAAGAGAGCAGACCAAAGAAAACAACCTCCTTTGTCTTGTTACAACTTACAACCCCAACAACCCTCAAGTATATAAGCTTGTCAGGGAAACACTTCCTATGTTGAACCAAAGCTCCTCACTAAAAACAATTATGAGCAAGACCAAAGTTATACATAGTCAACGCCAACCTAGGAACCTTAAAAGGATGTTAACAAACTCCTATTTCTCGAGACGAAATGACACCGATCCGGAAGTTAAAATCTGTGGAAAAAAACGTTGCGGAACATGCCCCTACCTTAAAGAGGGTAAAGAATTCACCTTCTCCGCCACGAATGAAACATTCCGGATTAAACATTCAATGAGCTGCACCTCGAATAACCTGATTTATGTAATTACATGTGCAGGATGTGGAAAAAGTTATATAGGCGAAACGGGTGATGTCCTGAGAAATAGAGTGACGGTTCACAAACAACAAATAAGAGACCCGTCCACTCGAATGCTAGGTGTTAGCAAACATATCGATGAATGTGCAGTGGGCCTAACACCGCAGTTTTCAATCTTTCCGTTCTACAAAATTCTAAGCTCATCGGAAAACATGAGAAAAAACAAAGAAAAGCTCTTTATTTCGAAATACAAGCCCGTTCTTAATGATTTGAAATTACACTAATTGCTCGCGCGAGTTTGCAATTACTATTATTATTATAATTGTAATAATATTATTTATCAATGCTATTGTGACGTCAATAAACGAACTTTGCTGATGCCTGAAGAGCCGCATTAGCGATGAAACGCGTAGCGTTAAAGCAAAGAAAAGGAAAAGACTTTGTTTTTTCATTATTTTATTTTATTGTATTCTATACGACACAAGAAGTTCATTTTTTTATATATTGTATATATATATATATATATATATATATATATCTAGCCGGATTTATGAAAACCGTAACATCGGACACCAGGAGCCCACACACCTTAAACTGACTCAACTAAAGTAAATATCGCCAAGAAACTCAGCTCTTACCCATGGTTCTCTTAAGGTGACTCTCTTCTTGGTTCCTGATTAGCAAAAGAAACATTCAAGTCCATCAAAAAGACACTCTGGACTTGTCCATACACTCTAGCTGCTTAAAGGCCCTGAATGACGGAGGACGCTTGAGACTTCAGCAAGTTCTAAGCAGAGAATTCAAGGTTAAGTCACCCCCCTGACTTCCTCCACCCCCCCAGCCTAGCACGTGCTTGAGGGGAATGCTTTCATTGGCCAATGGGCCTCAAACGTCACAAGAATTTCACATGACAAACTAAAGGCAGACGTGACCAGTGCACTGACTCTCCCAGACCAGGACTAACGGAAGGTACAACGCTTTTGCAGCAGCCTCCCCCCCTAGGATTGACGTGGAGGCCCCTTTCCAACCCATGGCGAGTTAGCTCAGGGACTGAACTTGACAATGAGACCAAGCAGGACAGCAAGCCCCCTATGTTTTCTCTCAGCGCAGTGACCAGAAAGCTGGCTATGGCCAGCTTTCTGTGCAAATATTCTGGTGCATTTTCAGGTAGGTTTTCAAAATTCGGCTAGATGTTGACGACAAATGCTGTCTTTTCCAAGAAGGAGGTCACCTCGGGCCAAATCTGCCTCCTCCCAACCCAGTTTGGCCCCATTCTCCCCTCCCCGACAGCATTCAACGACATCATCTAGCCGGATTTATGAAAACCGTAACATCGGACACCAGGAGCCCACACACCTTAAACTGACTCAACTAAAGTAAATATCGCCAAGAAACTCAGCTCTTACCCATGGTTCTCTTAAGGTGACTCTCTTCTTGGTTCCTGATTAGCAAAAGAAACATTCAAGTCCATCAAAAAGACACTCTGGACTTGTCCATACACTCTAGCTGCTTAAAGGCCCTGAATGACGGAGGACGCTTGAGACTTCAGCAAGTTCTAAGCAGAGAATTCAAGGTTAAGTCACCCCCACTGACTTCCTCCACCCCCCCCAGCCTAGCACGTGCTTGAGGGGAATGCTTTCATTGGCCAATGGGCCTCAAACGTCACAAGAATTTCACATGACAAACTAAAGGCAGACGTGACCAGTGCACTGACTCTCCCAGACCAGGACTAACGGAAGGTACAACGCTTTTGCAGCAGCCTCCCCCCCTAGGGATTGACGTGGAGGCCCCTTTCCAACCCATGGCGAGTTAGCTCAGGGACTGAACTTGACAATGAGACCAAGCAGGACAGCAAGCCCCCTATGTTTTCTCTCAGCGCAGTGACCAGAAAGCTGGCTATGGCCAGCTTTCTGTGCGAATATTCTGGTGCATTTTCAGGTAGGTTTTCAAAAATTCGGCTAGATCTAGCCGGATTTATGAAAACCGTAACATCGGACACCAGGAGCCCACACACCTTAAACTGACTCAACTAAAGTAAATATCGCCAAGAAACTCAGCTCTTACCCATGGTTCTCTTAAGGTGACTCTCTTCTTGGTTCCTGATTAGCAAAAGAAACATTCAAGTCCATCAAAAAGACACTCTGGACTTGTCCATACACTCTAGCTGCTTAAAGGCCCTGAATGACGGAGGACGCTTGAGACTTCAGCAAGTTCTAAGCAGAGAATTCAAGGTTAAGTCACCCCCTGACTTCCTCCACCCCCCAGCCTAGCACGTGCTTGAGGGGAATGCTTTCATTGGCCAATGGGCCTCAAACGTCACAAGAATTTCACATGACAAACTAAAGGCAGACGTGACCAGTGCACTGACTCTCCCAGACCAGGACTAACGGAAGGTACAACGCTTTTGCAGCAGCCTCCCCCCCTAGGGATTGACGTGGAGGCCCCTTTCCAACCCATGGCGAGTTAGCTCAGGGACTGAACTTGACAATGAGACCAAGCAGGACAGCAAGCCCCCTATGTTTTCTCTCAGCGCAGTGACCAGAAAGCTGGCTATGGCCAGCTTTCTGTGCGAATATTCTGGTGCATTTTCAGGTAGGTTTTCAAAAATTCGGCTAGATGTTGACGACAAATGCTGTCTTTTCCAAGAAGGAGGTCACCTCGGGCCAAATCTGCCTCCTCCCAACCCAGTTTGGCCCCATTTCTCCCCTCCCGACAGCATTCAACGACATCATCTAGCCGGATTTATGAAAACCGTAACATCGGACACCAGGAGCCCACACACCTTAAACTGACTCAACTAAAGTAAATATCGCCAAGAAACTCAGCTCTTACCCATGGTTCTCTTA